AGACAAGAGAACAGGGATGGTTGCTCTAACGCACCTAGTTTCCGGGGAGGCCAAGCTGGATGCCAGAGAACCTGAGACTGCTTCTAGGTCCAGCTGGTCTGACCAGGGACAGTGAATTCCATACGTTCCTCTCTCTGTATTTGGCCTGAGGCCCCAGGCCCCGCATTTGCTCAGGCAGCACAAAGCCCCACGTAGGGAGGCAAGCAGCTCTGCTTCTCATTTTCTTTGGGGTGGGGAGGGGAGGGAAGGGGAGGAAGCCAGCCTGCCCTTCCCCACCCCTCCTCACCGACTGGCTGGGGAACGCACAGCCTGCTGGCCAGCATCAGACTCTCTCTTGCGCAGACCCACTACCACCCCTCAGCCCCGACCTCCAAACTCTGGCCCCCACCCCTCTGCCTCTCCCCAGCTTGAGAAACACACCTGTGCAGGCTAAGCCCTCTGTGTCCCTCTGCTCCTCTGAACTATCTTACAGTTGGGGTGGTGTTGCCCGGGACAACAGCAAAGTCACCTGGGAAATGCTTCCTGGGAGGGCCTCTGGGATGCAGGGGGACTCCACCAGGTGTCCCTAGGGGCTTCTGGGTATTCTTGACTGACCCTTCCTCTCCAGAGGCCTCCCCACCCTGCCCTCTTGTTGCTGTTATAGGTCCTATTTCAAACCAGAATTCACCGGAAGGGCAGGATGGGTGGCCTTTTCCTCAGCTCTGAACAGACCACTCAGAGGGCCACCAAGGATGGCCTCTGCTTGCACTCAGAGGACACAGCAGTGGCCTGTGGGGGCACTCAGCTTGGCAGAGGGCCGTGCCTCAGTGGACCTTCACAAGCTGGATTCAGGGGAGGTGGCCTGCGGCCAGGGCCAGGAACTGCGTTCGGGGCTACACATCAGCCGGCTCGGCAGTGCAGGAGTCCCAGGTTGGGCCGTCCTCATCTCCCTAATGATGAAGCTGAGGCCGGAAGTAGCAAAGTACTCGCCCCACTACTGAAATGCCCAGCAGAACAGAAGCAGGACTCTACTTATCTGCACGTGGCAGAGCCCATACAGGCTACTGCTTCCCGGCTCTAGGCTGTGCAGACCAGACTCACAGAAGATGAGCCCTGAGAGGGCCTGGACAGGGACCACTGGGAGCCCTTTGAGCCCCAAGAGGTGAGCTGGGCAGGGAAGGCTGGGAGAGGTGACTGCCCAGCGCTTCTACTGCATCTGCTCCTGGGCGCTCAGGGCTAACTAGGGACCTTGTTTCTTGTTCCCGGCGGGGATTCCTACTGACCCACCAAGGCAGATCTTGGTTTGCACACAGCGTTTCTCCTTGGGCCTGCACCATAACCTTGAGATTGTATTTAACTCATGCAAATGCAAACCTGTAGCTAGGGGCTAAGGCTCAAAAAGCACTAGGCAAATAAGTAAACAAAATGAGACATGCCAATTTAAAAAAATAAAGGGAGAAACCCTCCAGGCTAGCATAACCCTGGCCTTGGGGCCCTGGCCAAGGCATGCATAAGCCAAGCTGACCTGAACCTCTGAGACTCTCCTCTACCTGGAGGGAACTGTCCACAGACGTGCAGGCCTCAGAGGTGACATGCCCGCACAGTTGGCAGCGGGTCCCCCTCCTTCCAGGCCCTGACCCCAGCTCAGTTAAGTGAAAGCTTTCCATTAGGCTCACCCCAGATACAGGGAGTAGATGACAGGATGACAGCCATCTGGGTAATGGTCATGGAATTGCCTGGCAAATTACTAAATGTTCTGACATGTACAACCTCCTCAGGGATCCTTTGCAGGGTAGTGATTCAGGAGCCTGAGTCTAAACCACACTGATAATGATAGAAATTGAAGAGCCAGTGCCCGGATGACACGACCGACCCAGGTGAGCAGCACTGGTGGGCACCAGCTGCCTTCCCAGGGACTGCTTAGCTGCCTCGCTGACAGGCCTGCTTTAAGGTGTCTGTGGACAGGATACTTAAAGTGCTTGGGCAGCTCATCAAGAGGCGAGAAGGTCGAGCGGAAGCTGCGTGAGCACACATCTGGCTCCAGGAAGGCGGGCAGAAGCTTCCCAGGTGGCCGTGGGAAGGCACTCGCAGAACAGGCCTTGAACAGGGCTTACCTGTGAGTGACCAGGGGAGCACCTTCCTCTCAGCAAGCCTGGTCCCTGGAACCTGCTTTGGCTCCTGGGAGCTAAGTACCACTGCTGGGGGCTACTGCCCAGGTCAGCTGCTGCACTGCAGGCCGTGTCACCTTCACTCTATGCCACACCCACTTACTCATCAGCTTCTCCTTGGGGCCCAAACTGGATCCACCACCTTGAACTGTAATAATTAAGAAGCAGTCACCTGCTGCTTGGGCCAGACGTCCCACGTGTGGGCAAGGCTGGACTGGCCTCTCTCCTTCCTCCCTTTCCAGCTGGCCAAGTTTTCCATCCTACCACTGCCCAGGCTGAGAGCTGATGTCTGTCCTCTGACAGGAAAAAGGCCACAACACTCTCCTTTTGCCCCTAAAAGCCCCCAACCCAACTCATTTTGAAACTTAACCTGCTTCTTCATTCATGTTCAGTGTCTGGGACTCACCTGACAGGCACTTTACTTGCCCAGGCCTCAGTTTCCTCATCTGTAAAATGGGGATAACAACACTTCACAGAACACTTGGGAAAATTAAATGAGTTCATACAGGGTAGCAAAGTCTGAAAGATGTCAAGCCTTCAATAACCGGGGCTGTTCTGAACATGTGTACAGATAAGGTACTGCTTAAGGGCACTGTGCTAGGACAGCGAATATAGATCACACACCACTAGCCAAGGCTCCTATGTCCAGACAGCTTGGGACAGTGTCCTCTTGCTGAGAGGGGGCCCCTCACCCTACATCACATGACTGAAAAGCCAGCAGCCGCTGTCATGGCTCCCAGCACCCACAGCTCTGTGCTCCTCCCCACAGAATGGAGGCGCTTGGGCCTGAGCCTCCATACAAGGAACCCAGAGGCTGCTAACCTGAGGGTGCCCCCCCAGGTCATCGCCATTGCCGACGCCTGCAGTCTGCCTGTGATGGCCAGGGCGCTGCTGCTGGTGCCCAGTCCCCGGATTCTTCTAATCAGGGCGGCAGAGGCAGACAGAGCAGGTGTGTTTCTCCCTCGAGTTCCAAAGCTTAGCACACGGGAGGCCCACAGCCTCGCTGTCCTCGGCTTCTCATTCCTGGGGTCCACAGCTGGTTCTCTTTCTCCCTCACAAAATGCACCCCGCAGACCTTCCGCCCCAACCGCACCCGTCTCCCGACCGGCTGCTGTTGGCAGCGGTGTCCGTCCACAGCGCACTGAGCTGGGCTAGACCTGCCTCACCCAGCCCTCCTCTGCGGGCAGCACAGGGTGCACGTTCAGGCGGTCCTCACTGTCTCCCTGGGAAACGGCATCCTCCTTATAAAGCACGGCCCTCTCGCCAACTTTCTCCTTATTAATCCTCAAGGGTCCCAAACAGGAACAATACAAAGCCAACTTCCTCCCAGGTGACGCGTTCTCGGAGGCTGATTTTCCCATTAATTCCAGCACCTTCTCGCCCTCCTCTACAACCATCACCCATTCGCCTCTCCGGAGAAGCACAACAGCTGACAGCGAGCAACTTCTGGGATGATGGCATCAGGATAAAAGTTCAGAGCTTTGTCTCCTGAAAGCCAGAGCTTGGGACTGCTACCTCTCTGGAAATAGGAGACAGCAAGAAGCACAACTCCATGGTGACCCACCAGAGGAAAACCTGAGGGCACGTGGCCGAAGTAGTGGCCACACTCAGAGAGCAAGCAACGCCAGCCAGCGGTGTGGGCCGGCAGGCTGCAGGGAGGGCTTCTGGGCTGCGGCAGCAACCCCACGGGGCACTTGCACCCCTTTTTCACTGCTGGAGTGACCAAGCCTGGCTCTGGCTGGCGGCTTTCTCTGGGAAAACACGATTTTAAAAAGGAAGCACCATGGCTCGAGCCCAAAGAGGAACAAGAAAACCAGAGGCGCCCCTGAATCTGATCGGATTCCCAAATCCAGGAGCCAGGTTGCTGCCAGGGTCCCGCCTCCTCCCAGTCGCAGGGGCCGGGCGGGTGGGGGTGGGGTGAAGGGCTGAGGCTCGTCTCCTCCCAGCCACCGCACTTCGCGCACTTCGAGAAGAAAAGCCGCGCGCAGGGGCGGGCGCAGCCCGGGCGCCCCCGGTGGCCTTACGGGGGGGGGCAGGAGGGGGCGCCGAACGTGGGGTGAAGCCAGAGACTGCGGCTTTGTCCCCGCGAGAACGCAGCGCCGCGAGGGGCTGCCGTCCTAACGGCCCAACGGGGAAGTGGCAGGCCTCCCGCGCGGCCAGCTCCCGCCTCCCGCCACGAGCGGGATGGCGCACCGCGGGCCACTCCGCACTCGGCCGGTGCCCGAGGCGCGCGTACGAGGCCCCGCGTGGAGCGAGGGCCCCGCGAGGTGGAGGTGCAGGCAGCCCGCGGGCTCCCCGCCACTCCGATCCGCGCCACTGACCTCCGACCCACCTGGGCTCGGGGCGTCGCCCGCCGGGCTGGGGCGCGGGCAGTCTGCACGCGGCGCTGGACTCCTGCCTCGGCCTCCTCGCCAGGCCTGCGTCTCCAGTCGCTAGTTTCCTGGTTGTCACGGAAACTTTTTAGTCCCGCCCCCTCCTGGCCGCTGGAGCCGCTTAAGGAGGACCGCACGGGGCCGTCTGACCGGCCCGGGGACCACCACAGAGATTTGTCCAGCGACCCTGTGCCCCAACTTCAAGCTGCGCGGCACAACTGGGAAGTGACCAGGACAGAAGAGTTGTCGTCCACGGGAGCGAAGTGGGGAGGCGGATAGGGGAGCGGGAAGTACGCCCTTAAGAGCCGGGCCGGTCTGCAGGGCACAAGGGGTTAAGTTCCCGCGGGGCGGAGGGCTGGCGCGCTTTACGAGCAGTGGAATTCCTGGGGCCGCCTGTTTTGTCCCTAGGAGGAAAATGTAAATCTAGACACCACGCAAGCCCCGTTCTCTTTTGCAAGTTGGAGGGACTACACTAGCTCACCTCGTTGTACCATAGGAACAAGCCTTCTTGCCCTGGTCGGTGAGAACCAGGAAGGAGAGCGGCTGCAGCAGCTGCCGGGCTCCGCCGCCCGCCCCAGCCTAGGCCCGCGGAGAAATTAGGTGCATCCTTACCACCCTGGTTCTGGGGCCGGGAGAACCGAGGTCTGGAGGAAAGACAGCGCGCTCAGGTCGCGCCTGATGGCTTAGGAAATCTGTGACCCACTGTCATTTTCCCTTGGTGACTTGCCCAGCCCCACAGGCAGTGGGTGGGACCAGGCAGGGTCTGAGTGAATTCTTGCAGAAGTTGTTTCTGGAGCTGCAGAGGCCAGTCTGTCCGGAGATCCTCGCCACGGTCGCTGCTTAGGTCACCTTCTCCATTTCCTCTTCCATCAGCCGAATAACCGCAGCACTGGCCTGGGACACAGTAGGCTGAGTCTGACCCTACCCATGCAATTAGAAAAGCTTCCAGAAATAGCTGGCTGGCCGGGGCCCTGGATACTTTGCTGTTGGAGCTTTTGCTGCTGCTCAGGGCTCTTCACTTGGAGGATCATTATGGCTGTGTTTTGGGGGCCAGTGGAGGGAAGTAGGGGAACCAGAGGAAACATTCTTGAAAGTCCTGTGCGTTGCCAAAATATCTACACATTGAACGGGCGGGCCATTCATCCGCCAACCCAGAGTGGGTGGGGAGTTGCGCAGGCCCCAGCCTACAGTCCTTGGCTCAGAGTTCAGGGAGAGGGGAAGGTTAAGGGCAGTGCCTGGCGCCCCCGCCCCATCCTGTCTGAAGACTTGTGCAAGCAGTATGTATCCGGCTATGCATATTTAAGAAAGAAATATCTATTAAATTTTTACATGCCTGCTGATTTCTCCTGTGGCCTAAGGGTCTCTTTCATGGTTTTGCCCCCGCTCTCTGGGCTAGGCCCATCATCCATACCTGGCTCACGACCTGGCCTCCTCTTACCTCCCCACATCGCTTCTCACTCCAGCTTCCACGCCCGACTTGGGCAGTTCTTGGAATTTGTGCTTCTCAGAATGTGATCTGCGGTTTGCGTTTACAGTGCTTTATCTTCCCCCAGCAGCCTTCGCTCCACCTCTTTCCCCCACCTGCTACCCTAACACAGCACGTGTTATTTGTGCCTAATTGTACGTCCAGTTTTAAGCTCTCAGGATAGATAAATTTTGTCTTGAACCTCCCGTCCCCATGTCTCTATTGGACCCCCTCTTGTATAGTTTTATATCACACTCAGGCTTACTCTGGAAAGAGTTACTGAAAGATAGGAAAGCGCAGAAGATTCAATGTCTAGGATTATGAAGAACCGAAAATTTAAAGTACACAGAGCTGCTAAGTAAACTATATCAACAACTGAGGAAACTGTGGATCTCGGGAATGAGACGGGAAGAAACTCAAAGGATCTGGACTTAGACCTCTGCCGCTGGGCCCTGGGAAAGCTGGCTTTTAGTAACAGGAGAACACCCTCCTCGCAATGGCACAGAGGCAGCACAGAAGCTTGTGGTTTGTCTGGCACTCCCGGCTAATTAAGGAATGTCTGCTCTAGAAACCAGAACCTCTGGCCTGCCTGAGCCCTGCTAGCAGTGAGGGCCCGGTGCGCACCATTCCCGCAGCGAGGGCATCGGGGTCAGTGCGCACCATTCC